CCGTGGGATGCCCCCGCCGATGGGGAGGTGCTTTGTTAAAGGAGATGCCGGAGCCTGAGACTGTTGTGACTCACGGGCACAGGGCGAGGTGCATTTGCGCATCTCAGTCTGTGCGGAGACGCATTTCAGGTCGATACGACGCCCCACGCCGGAGCGCAGTTAAAGTCTGTGTGACGACCCACGCCAGGGCGAGTGGCTGGAACTCCCCAAAAAACCCAGACGCACTTGGGGCAAATCCGATGGGGTAAGGATTTGCCTCCCAGCGGGTAGAATTCACGCTTTTGCTGTGAGTAGGGGATCCACTGGATCAAGGGACAATGGTGTAAGGACTCCGTCTCCTTTAAGAGAAGCGGCAGTAACAACATGGGATGAACTGACCTGCACCCCCCCATTCCCTGCCCCCTGCACTGCTGGGCGGAGGAGGTAGAGTTGGGAAGAGAAGGCCAAAGGGGCGGAGTGGTGTTGTTTTTAAGATCTGGCCTTGTTTTCTTGTTATCCTCTCAAGTAACCGTTTTTGTTTGCTTTTCTCTTTGTAGGTAGCTGTCAATAAACTGTTCTGCTTTAAGAAAACAGCCCCTTTTGCCCGGGACCGTGGTTGGTGGGTGCTCCTCTGTTCCTGTCTCGACCCTCAGCTCTTTTATTACATTTTTCTCCTCTCCATTTTACTGGAGTGAGAGAGCTGCGTGGGGTTTAGTTGCCGGATCGGCCTAACCCACGACAATAAAATATCTTTAAAAACTGATGTCATGAGTGTGTGGTTCCACAGCTGTAAACTGGTCATTGCCTTGTTGGCTGCGCTGCCTGCAGATGCACAGGAACACCATGTGGGGAACAGCCCACATACCAGGTCTGAGAGGACACTTTGACATGGAGTCTGTCACCCTGTAGACAGTTACCCGGCACATCCAAAGCACAGAGCTGCCATATGGGGCTGAACAAACTTATTTGGACATTTAGAGTGTGAAGGGTAACGATGTATCTGAAATTACTTCAGAGGGGGTGGCTGAGACAGATGGAGATTAATTGTTTTCAAACTTTTCAGACTGTCTTGTGCATCACTCCTTTGGCTCTCATGCAGTTCACGCTTGGGTTCTGTGCCTGTTTGGAGCAGAGCAGGAGCAGAACCGAGGTGGGCACATAGATGGTGAGCCTGATGCTGGAACTGGGCGTAGGGTTCTTATGCGTTGATGTCCTGCTCCACCCACAGGATAGAAAGCAAGTGTTCCAAAACTGAAAATCTGTCATTTTCCTGCCAAGGGATTCCAGGTAGGTGCCTCAAATGAGAAAAGAATGTAAAACAGAAGCGGCTGAGAAAATAGCTATGCATGCCATGACCATGGAGAGGAGCTTAGCAGAGCACAGAGGGGCTGCATCTCCTGACTACCATCACCTTGCTGTGCTTGCTACCTTGCACGAGAGCCAAGGGAGTTAACAGAGCTGTGTGGCGTGGAAGAAATAAAGATCTGCAAGAAATATTAGATAACAAAACACCAGGACCAGATGGGTAAGCAGCTGATTTTATGGGACATTCTGAGATAAATTACTTACAACTGTAAATGAAGTTTGTTAATGCACTTTAGAAACAAAATTATTTCCCCTAACTTAATTTAGCCCACCAGGAAGAAAGCCAAAGAAGTGTAGACTGGACAAATCTATTTCATTATCTTGCTTTGACTATGATAATTTTAAAAGTCATTGCTATTAGTTTAGGGGCCAGGACAAGTTTGCTAGAAGCTGCTGCTCTCTTAATCAGAGCATAAAGTGAGTATATCAGCTTTGCTGTAGCATTATGATTTGATTGACCAGGGGTATCTCAGCACGGGATTCAGTTTACCTCCTGAAAAAGGAAGGCACTCGCTCAGCCAGCCACTCTCCCAACCTATATGCTGGAAGAGCAGCGATTGCCCTTTCCCACTGCCACTCTGGGAAGTGGAGCACACTCGCCTTGCCTGTGTCGGAGCAGCCTGGCACCTTGCACTGCTTGCCTTGCGGGCTCTGCACAGTGCTGGTGTGGGGCTCTGACAGTGCTGACACAGCAGTTCGCAGTGGGGGGAATGTTGGGGGGGAGGACACACGGACACACCAGCTCACTACACCAGTGTAGTGAATTACCACTTTGTGGAGAGCTAAAAGTACTCTGTGCATGCAGTAATTTTGGTAGAGTTGCATGTGCCATTTTCGGTGCCTTGCAATAACAGTCATAATTGATGGCCAAGAAGTGTTTCTGGTTTTTAGGTCGTGCCAGTCAAATCCAGATTTTCTGTCTGTGTAAGACGCAACAGATCTGCGCGTATATCCATGTGGGTGACATGCAGAGCCATTTCTGTCAGAGGTTATGTTGATGAATGGCATTGCTCAGTTACCAGAATTTGGGTCACAGTTCAGCATCTTTGTTGTATTCCATGTACAGCTCAATATTAATGTGTATTTATATGGTGTCGGTTGCTGTGGTGTGTGTGTATACGCATTCATGCAGATACATACATACATAAAAATACGCATGTATGTATGCTTTTAAACATCTGTTTAAAATAAATGAATAGTTATTCCAGTTAGGCATAATTCAGATAACAATGTCTACCTTAGAATTACGAATTTCTGGTGGCTTGGAGCACGCTGCTTCTCCCCCGCTAGTGCTTGCTCTGTAGTTGCAGCACAGGCACTAACACAGAGAGATTTATTGCAGGAGGGGAGCACAGCTGACCCCGGAGTCTGAGCATCCCCCACCTCAGATGGCCACAAGGTCACTGCTGTGTGCTTGGGCAAACATGCTCATCTGCTACAGATGTGGTGCGATTGCTTTTGGTGCAAGATGACCCTGGTAGATCTGATGATCCTTAGGCTTTCCATGTTCAAATGGGAGCCCACCTGAGAGCAGCCAGGGCCGGTGATTTCTGCTCCAAAGGGAGGGAGACGAGCTCTGCTGTGGAGCTGTTGCTCGCTGCTGTGCCAGGCAGCAATCTCATCTGCAGATGGGAAGTATCATTTTGATGAGGCTTTATATATATCCTGATGGCTAGATACAAAGGAACACCAGGCTGGGCTCTAAATCTTCTGAAGCTTTTACATTCTGATTTTTCAAAATTTTTGTGACTCTAATAAAAGTTTTAATAGCATTTTCAGTTTATACGTATTTTACCTATGTGAATTTGAAATGAGAGCAATGCTCTCATGGTCAGCGATGTCTCCGTGACTTGTGTAGGGCTCTACACCTTGCTCTGAGGCTAGGTATATGCCATGCATTTCACACAAAAGCACGCTGAGAAGTTTTCTAAACCATAACAGATATTTCTATATTTTAACAGGTAGTATTTCTCATATGCCTCCTGTTGTAGGGTCAGACTCTCAGTTTTCTTCACAATGCTTCTTACAGGCCTTGGAGGTGAATAAAAATTACCAATATAATTTAGAAATGGCTACAGTATGACTTTTTGTTACCTAGCCATTTGTTACTTAGGACATCTCAACACTTTGGATCTCTAGGAAATTATATATGCTCCCTGCAAAAGCTGGGAGTCTTTTTTTCCAGTAATTTCTAGGTTTGTAAGACAAAATCTAGGACTGATTCAGGATAAAACCCTGTCTCCAAGCTTATGAGTATAAAGGAGGAGGAAAAATAATTCTGTTGTTTAATTGATCCATTGTCAGCTGCCTAGAGGTGTCCAGAAGCCTTTCAAGAGCAGATATGGCTGTATCATATAACAGTTCCAGCATAATTTTTTTTTTTTTTCCCCCTTTTTCTGGCGTTGCTATTCTGCGCTTTTCTCAGTAGGTGGCAAACTTCACAAGCTGTAGATGGCTGCATTTTTTTTGCAGGATTTTATACCTCAAATAAAATAGCGTGTGCTGGGAAAGCTTTGCTTGGACCTCATCCAAATAATATTTGCTTTCCTTCACTTACAAAAACGGAGCCGTTGTTGCTCCTAATTCAATCATTTTCTTTTCTGGGCTAATTTGTGAAAAGGCTATAGCTGCTGCAATGGAGTATTTACTTTCTGTGTGCAGTGCTCTTTGAGATTGTTCAGTAAACAGGGAAAAAGCTCTTTTTTGCTATTTAAAAAAGAAATACCTCACATCAACTCCATCGATGAAACACAGGTCTGATTTGTTCATACCAGAGAACAATCATGACTTAAAATAAGAAAAAGCACTGTCATTTCTTTCTGTAAAATAAATATCTTTTGGCGTTACCGTTTGTTTAGTATCATTATTAAGTGCGAG